CCCTGCCGCCATAAGTGACAGACATGATCCCCGATGCATTCGACGCCACTAATATTCTCGGACCGTTGGCAAAGGAAGGCCTCTTCTTGGGTGCATTCGGGACCATCACTTCGTTCGGATTGCTGGCAAACTCAGGCCTCGTCTCGGACGTGTTGGTCGCCGTGTTGGATGCGGGACTCGGATCGACGGTGTTCGGTGCGTCAGCCGCCGCAGACTGTCGCCAATCCTCGTGTTGACGTGACGGCTCAGCATTAACTTGCGGCGCAGTTGTCCCACCAGATTTTGTGTCATCCTTCCCTTCACGGGGTGGCGGCAACTGACGGATGCCCGTCTGGTCAGCATCGCTGCTCCGTGCAGGCGGATGGATGGTTCCATCGGGAGAAAATTGACGCCACCGCAATTCATAAGGGCCGGCGTATTTATGTGTCGTCACATTCATCGTGAAGGCAACGGTGGCCCCTTCCTCTTTCCTTGCACAGCTGGCAGCACAGTTGCTACATGTGTGCACCGCATTGGCCACATGGCACACAGCACCCAGCTCACCATTCCTGCCATGAATGCGCACATCAAAGCCACTGAAAGTATAATTCTCATGCTGAGCCTCAGCACTGGCAGCAGAACACTTCTTCCACACGCACACACACACACCCACGCGATAGCTCAGGCTGCCGTCACTCGGAGCACACGACACATCCACCGGCAAAACCACCGCATCCGCAGGAAAGGAGACTCGGGCTGCGCGCTTCCTCTATCCTCCTTCCTTCTCTTCATGGCCACGGAAGAAGACAACAGCAGCCACCCGCAACTGCCAGCACACGCTGCAAAAGAAGCATTCAAATCCACTGCAATGTGCATTTTGTGTGTGCATGTGGTTGTGTGTGTGCCTGCAGACACACAAATCAAAGAAGAAAAAGAAGAGCAACAAATATAAACGCACAAACTAAAATTTACAGCGGAGGTGCATGGCGGAAACAGAGAGAAGAAGACCGCTCAAACTCATGACTACACTGCCGCCCAAGCAGCGGCAATTCACACAAGATTTATTTAGAACAACAACAACAAAAAAACTTTCCCCTTCGTCTTATACAAGCCCCATCACACAAAATAATTATAAATAAATAAAAGAAATCGTCCATTACTGTTCCACACAATTTTAAAAAGCAGCCGGCTGCCGTGTGGCCACACCAAACCGTCTGTATATATTTTGCCCGCAAAAGAAAATTAAATAGTTGCATGTCTTTCAACCGTCTGGCCCTCTGCGTGTCCGCACATCGTTTATATTTCACGGGGTCATCTGCGTGTTGGTGCTCCCCTCAGCCCTTTCATCGGCGCGTGAGTACAGCCTGCAGAGCACAGTCACTCGTGTGTGTGGGGACTGAGAGAAGCACGCAGACATGACGGCGGTCGCGTCTCTCCATCGGGAGAGTAAGCGCAGCAAAAGAAAAATCATCAGAAGGAAGGGAAAGAAATGCTCACGAGGCCGACACCGAAGAGACTGCCGGCACGTGAAATGCACACGCAAAGCAAAAAATCTTAAAAACACGGCGGCAGGGTGTGGCTGTGTGTGTGTGGCGCTGCGGGTGTCTGCCCGCCCTGGCCGCAAAGAAAACAAAACAAGAGGGAAAGAAATGTGTGCTCCGCCCCACCGGCCCTCGTCGCACGCCCACACGTCACGGCTCCCTCAGCGCGCCGTTCGTCGCGGCCCCTCCTCATGCGTGCAGCAGGCGAGGCGCACAGGGCCGTCGTCATGAGCGTGTCGGTGGGCGTGCGGGTGGAGCAGTTGGGCGGGAAACACACGGCACCCCTCACAGGAAGAGTGCAGAAGAAACAATTAAAAGAGGGAAGAGTAGAAAAGAAAAACAGTGTCCATAGTGATTGCCCCCAAAAGCAAAAAAGAGAAGGGATGGTGGAGCAAAAGAACAGAAGAGGGATTAGAGATTTAAAACGCACAAATTAATTTAAAAAAAAAAAAAAAGTAGCAAAAATTTTAAAGCAAAAGGATAAAAAAATTAAATTTACAAAAAAACAAAACAAAAAGCCGAAGCGTGGGACGACCAGCGCACACACTCTCATTGCTCCCGTAAAGCAAAACACACACACAGGGAGAGAGAGAGAGAGAGAGGTCGCCCACTCAATGCAATGAAAACAAAAACAAAACAGTTACGGTGCTCCGCCCATGCAGCCAGGCAGGACGGCAGCGGTGCGTGTGGTGCAGGAGAGAGCACCAACGGGCATGCATGGGTGTGCATGCATATATACAATGGGCACATTATGTGTGTGCTTCGTGGGGTGAGGTGAGGGCGAGAGTCCATGCAAGGGGACACACACACAGAGAGTGAGTGAAAGACGAGTGTGTGTGCGGGCGGTGCACGGCTCTCTCTCCCTCACTCTCACGCGGCCACCACCGCAGTAGCAGCCGCACACGCAAAAAAAAAAAGAAGCAAAAGAGGGGAGGTGGTGTGGGAGACCGCGGTGCTGCCGTCACTGTCGTCCGTAATTGCAGTTGCATTTGTACCATTAGCAGTTTTTTCTTTCGGGGATTCTTCGCCATTTCCTGCGGAATGTTCACGCTGTTGGTGTTGCTGCTTTTCATGCTGTTCTTTTTCTTGTCGTTCCGTTCCTTCTTCTTGTAGAAGCTCTTGTTTTTCTTCAGAATGGTGTTCGACTGATTTATCCTGATCATGTATTGCTGTTTTTACCTCCTCTTCTCGGACTGTCGTACCTCGCAGTGCTTCTGCTGCTGCCTCTGCTGTCTTTGCTGCTGTTGTTTTTGCGTCTGCTTCCGTTGCTGCTGCTGCTGCTTTTTCTGTTTCTGCTTTTGCTTTTGCTGCAGCTGTTTCCGTGTTTGCTGTTTCTGCTGATGTTTTTGCTTCTGCTGCCGCTTCTGCTGCTGTGGCTGCTGCCTCTGCCGCTGCCTTTGCTGCTTCTTCTGCTGCTTTTCCTGCTGATGCTTTTGCTGTTTCAGCTGCTTCAGCTGCAGCTTTTGCTTTTGCTGCTGCTTCTGCGGCTTTTGCAGATGCTTCTTCTGCTGCTGTTTTTGCTGTTGCTGCAGCTTTTGCTGCTTCATCTTTTGCTGCTTCTGCTGCTTTCGCTTTTGTGGTTGCTTCTTTCGCTGCTGCTGCGGCTGCTTTTTCTGTTTCTGTTTCTGCTTTTGCTGCAGCTGTTGCCGCGTTTGCTGTTGCCATTTTTGCTGTTTCTGCTGATGTTTTTGCTTCTGCTGCTGCTGCTTCTGCTGCTGCTGTTTTTGCTGCCGCCTCTGCTGCTGCTGCTTTTGCTTTTTCAGCTGCTTCTGATGCTGCCGTTGCTTTTGCTGCTGCCTTTTCAGCTGCTTCTGTTGCTGTTTCAGCTGTTTCTGCTAATGTTTTTGCTTTTGCTGCTGCTTCTGCGGCTTTTGCGGATGCTTCAGCTGCTGCTGTTGTTTTTCCTGCTGCTTCTTCCGCTGCTTCTGATGCTGCTTCTGATGCTGCTTCTGCTTCTGCTTTTGCCTTTTCTGCTGTTTCTGCTGCTGCCTTTGCGTCAGCTGCTTCTGTTGCTGTTTCTGCTGTTTCTGCTAATGTTTTTGCTTTTGCTGCTGCTTCTGCCGCTTTTGCAGATGCTTCAACTGCTGCTGTTGTTTTTACTGCTGCTTCTTCCGCTGCTGCTTTTGCTTTTTCAGCTGCTTCTGATGCTGCTTCTGCTTCTGCTTTTGCCTTTTCTGCTGTTTCTGCTGCTTCTGCTGCTGCCTTTGCGTCAGCTGTTGCTTCTGCTGCTCTTTGTTCTTGTCTTACCTTCAATCTCGCAACTGGAATAAATAATTCTTTCAGACTGTTGTCGTCCCCACCAGAAACCACACCAACAGCTCCATCGGCCGCAACGGACCACAGCACGCAGAGGGCACACACCAGCAGCACACGGCCAGTCATCATCATCGCCATCACTCCTGTCACTTGCGTGCAGCCTTCAGCACAAACTAACTCCCGTCAACGCAGAGTGAAAGCAAAAAAAGAGAGAGACAAGTCACACAGCCGCGCACACTGTTCCATCCAGGAATGAGAGTCACGCACAGTAAAAAATAAAAGCAACGCGCACAAAAATGAGACAGAAGGAATCAGTACAATTGCAAATCTCGAACGCCGCCCTGCAAACCAGAAGTTCTACAAAGTAAAAAAGTAAAAATTAAAAAACAACGCATCCAGGGTTCCGCCGCGCATGCACATAATGCGAGAGCGTTCCGTCGTGTCGGCACCCCTCACGGAGGGTACGCACACACACAAGAGAAGGTGCAGAGCACACAAAGCAACACAAAAGCAAAGTAACAATGAAAAAAAGGAGATCCCCGCACACCATGTGGATTGTTGGTCCACGGGAAGTACGGCCAATATTTGTTGTGAAAAGATGCATTTTTTCCTCTTTAATTTATTTTGTGACAGCAATGAGTAGCGCAAGGGCCGTCAGCAATAAAGTGGTAAGTATTCCCTCGCAAACGGACCGTCGTGCGGGCTGAGGCGGTCCCAAACAGTCGCAGTCCAAATTCTCAACGACGGGGCATTACCACAGTGGATGAAGCGGAGTGTCCCGTGTTCCGTCGGGGATCAGCAGCACGTGGCGTCTGTGATGCGGCGGTGGCGTAAGGGCCTGGTCCATCTCGAGTACCCGCGCTTGTGCTTCCTGCGTGTCCTGTCTGCTGGTATGCTTGACGACTTCGGTGGCGACCTGCGCGCAAGACGTCTGTTAAGAAGACGGTGGAGCCATTGTGGCATCCGCATTTTAGGCCTCTCCCACTATCGGAACGCCAGGCCGAGCACTTCGAGAATGTGCCGTCATATTGTGGACGGACGAGCGCACTCTGCCGCAGATTGGGCAGGAGGACGTCAATCCGCCGCTCGCTGGTCGGCAAGGAGTTGCGGTGCTCACGTCTGGAAGAGGTCACGGCGGAGGCGGTGGCGGGCCGACCTCCTCGGTAAAGAAAGGACGGCGCCACCGACACAGAGCCACTTGTGATATGCAGGGCGCGTGCCGGTATGTCGAAGAGCGGGCAGGAGTCGCATCGCGCCTGTGCGCCATGCCGCCACTCGGAACACGATGTCCGGGTTGGCACCAGGAACAGAGTCCTCGCCACACCGACAACCGCCTGTCATGCGGTGTGCGCGCCTTCCTTTTCCTCCTGGACATGTTTCCAATACAGTCGCTTGACTGCAGTGAGGAATTCCACGTGCCAGGCATTAACGCAGTCCTGCGGGAGGGATCCCGCCATGACGGCACCAGCGTCCGCTGTCACGTTGCGTGGGATTCCGCAGTGTCATGAGGAAAATACGGAGCCAACTTTGCGACCTCAATCCATCAGTGGAAGCGGTACGGTGCAAATCTCCTCGGTGACGTCGTCGCGCACCGCCAGCGGGCCGAGGCGGAGCGGCTCCATCGCCGAGAGGGAGTCTGTGGCGGCAGGGACTCTTGTGGGCGATTGGGATGCTGCTGCCAGGCGGGGAACTGGGAACTGTCTGTGGCCATGCTCAGTGGCAGGACACTCCGCTCAGCAGGAGCATGCAAGGCTGCCGGCAGCTGCGCGGTGAGGCCCCACAGGGAGCTCTCCGGGGAGTAAAGTGGCAGCGCAGCGAATCCACACGCACGCTCAGCGAGAGACGACGAACCGTCCACCGCCAACACAGTTACCAGCGACTAACAACACGTTGACCATGAATAGGACACGTATGCCCGCACCGCCGTGGGCACGGACAGCGACCCCGATTCACTCAGCAACAGTGACCTAATGCCCCTTGGATGGGGCAACAGCCACGCTGGAACACAGCACAGCCCTAGCAAACGTTGAGCGTGTGCTAACGTGTCGGGCGGCGGTGATGCCGCACAGGATTATTTGCGCACAACGTCTGGGAAACCAGAGATCCCATCGGAGCACAACGCAGCATCACTTTTGAGCAACGGTTTTTGTGAGCACGGGCATTTCACGGATTTGTTGGCCATGGCTGAAATTGGTGACATCACCATGCATGGGTGTGTGTCTCGGGTGTTGTTGCTTCTGCTTCTGGGGCTGTGGGGCACTGCGGCACTCTGCCGAGGTGTGAGGGAGGGTGGAATTGCGGTTTTTCGTGGAACAATAACTGTGCAGCTTGCCAGCATTACCCACTGAGTTTTGTCAGTAAGTTAAGTTTTATTATTTTCTTTTATTTATTTATTTGTTTTTTCTGCCTTTGCCCTATTGGAATAAACAGCATCCCTGTGTTTTTCTGCCAATGGTCGGTTGCTGTACGTTGTCATGAGTGAAGTATTTCTACTTTTCTTTGTTTTCTTTTGTTGCCCACACGCGGTGCCGACCCTGCGGCTGTGCGTCCCACGGACTGCACAAGAGGAGGATTGGGGAAAAAGGCTGGGTGCCGCATGAAATGTGAGGAGAGTTGTGTGGGCTCACGGAACAGTACGAACTTTTTTCTTGCTTTTTCAGTCCAGGCATTACGTATACACAAACCAGTGGCCGTTTACATTGCGTTGCTTGGCACATAAAATAAAAGTCATGCCTGATCTATTTTTATTTTTTACTTTTTGGGAGTCATGCCGGACTCTCAACTCTGTCGTTGTTCTTTTTTACTGCATTTTTAACTTCTGGTTTGCAGTGCGGTGTGTGAGTTCTGCAATTGTACTGATTCCAACTGCCTCATGGTGTGTGCATTGCCATTTGTGACTGTGCAGTGACTGTGTGTGGTGTAGCGGCCGTGTATTTCTCCTTTCCCTTTTGCTCTGCGTTGACGTGTTGTTAGTTTGTGCTGAAGGCTGCACGCAAGTGACAGGAGTGATGGCGATGATGATGACTGGCCGTGTGCTGCTGGTGTGTGCCCTCTGCGTGCTGTGGTGCGGTGCTGCGGTGGTGGAGTCGGTTGTCGATGGTGTTGTCGATGGCGGAGTAAAGGAGAGTCCATTGGGAGGTTCACAGTCTGATTCTAGAGACGAAAAAGCAGCAAAACCGGAATTATCGAAGTCAGCCGATGAAAACTGAGGGTCCGCGGATCACTCGTTGGATACACGATCAGGAACTAACTTCAGTGAGCAAGGGAACTTGGTCAAAGAGACAGTAACAGAGAATGTTGGGAGGGAAGAGATAGAAGAGGAAGGTAAAGAAATACCAGTAACACACACATCTCGAACAAAGGATGAAGTAACACTACCACAAGCATCACCACCACCAGCAGCAGCATCCGGTGTCGGTGAGGGCGATGTTGGTCCCGTTGGGATTGAAGGTACCGGTCGAAATTTTAGTGGTGGCAGTCTTGTTGGCGCTAGTGACGGTTCTCGTGTTACTGGTGATAAAGATAAAGATCCTAAAGAAAGTGAAGGTCCCGTTTCCGGGCCACCTTCCAGTGGTGCTTCTTCATCTCCCATCTCCAACAATGGAGACTCTTCACGGAGGAATGGCGGTGCACTACCCACTCAGGACACGACATCTTTAAAAAACAATGAGCAGTCAGGGCCAACAACATCTTCAGGGAACGCACCACTCAACAGGGAGACACCGGAGAGGTCAACACCCGATGCACAACGGCACTCCTCTGATACACAAGAAAATGAAACGAGTCGACTTCCTGATGGGGATGCAAATTACAGCGCCGTGGGGCAGAGTGCCGTGGGGACGAAAGGCTCTTCCGGCGTATCGACTACCGCCAGCAACGCACCAACGACACCTCAACCACAACTGCCAGCACCACCAGTACCAACAACAGCGACAGTAACGGGAGCGCCGGCAGAAAAACCAACTGCAGAACGATCACCACCACCGGCAGATTCAACACCAGGTGAAGGCCTAGCAGCAACAACTACAGCTCAAGCGAATGATACGGTGACACCTGGCGACAGTGACAGCAGCACCGCGGTCTCCCACACCACCTTTCCTTTTTTGCTTCTTGTTGTTGCGTGTGCGGCTGCTGCTGCGGTGGTGGCCGCGTGAGAGTGAGGGAGAGAGAGCCGTGCACCGCCCGCACACACACTCGTCCTTCTCTCTCACTCTCTGTGTGTGTGTCCCCTTGCATGGACTCTCGCCCTCACCTCACCCCACGAAGCACACACATAATGTGCCCATTGTATATATGCATGCACACCCATGCAGGCCCGTTGGTGCTCTCTTTTGCACTACACGCACCGCTGCCGTCCTGCCTGGCTGCATGGGCGGAGCACCGTAACTGTTTTTGTTTTGTTTCCATTGCATTGAGTGGGTGACCTCTCTCTCTCTCTCTCTCCCTGTGTGTGTGTTTTGCTTTACGGGAGCAATGAGAGTGTGTGTGCTGGTCGTCCCACGCTTCGGCTTGTTGCTTTATTGTTTTTCATTGTTTTGTGGTTGAGTGCACCCATTCCCTGGGCTGCGTGTGTGTGTGTGTGATGATATGAGTGGTTTGTGTGTAATATTCGCTTGCTTCTCTCTGCCGTTGCTTTATTTGCACTCTCTTGTGCCGCACAGCTGCTCTGCAAGTATAGGCGCTGACAAACACACAAGCACAAGCACATGCACACACACGCCATGTCGCACACACGTGGGCAGCCCCTGCACTGCTAGAGGAGCTCTCAGCGCGCTTTGGAATGTCGCAGCGGGCACCATTGGACTCGGCTTGTTGGCGCCTGTGGCTGCCGTTGGCGACGCTCCGATCCGCTCTGTTGGAAGTGCCGGCGTGGTCGTGGGGTGGCGGGAGAGCAGCGGCGGACACGGTGACCTCAACGCAGTGAGCTCACAGTAACTTCCTTGGCCAGTGGCAGTGCGGATGGAACGGTCATAATGATCGCACCGCCGGCACGCTTGTTGTCGAGTTCCCCGAAAGGAGAGCAGTGAAAGAAGGTCCGTCCGCATGACTCTTTGCATCTCCGCCTCAGGGATGCGCATCATAATTGGGGTTGCCGTGCGGTTATGCAACAGGGTATGATCTGCTGGGAGAGCGCGCTGTGCTATGCTCCTGCACCTGGGACTGGTGCTGTGCCGTTGGCGGATGTTGAGTGGCCGGTCATACAAATATTGCGACACCACGAGGAGAAAGGACCAAACACCTCGCGTGGAGGGAGCGTTGCGGCTGGTGAGGACTCTGTGCGACGGTGATGGACGTTCTCTCGACGGCGGATTGACGGTTCGTGTATTTGATGGAGTCGGTGCGCATGCCGTGTGTATGGCCGCCTCTGTGGTCTCCTGTTACTCCGCTGCGTGGGCCGCATTCTGACGCATTACTGGTCCAAAGCCATTTTGTTTTTCTTTGCTCTTCTTTTTCCTTTGTTTCTCTCCTCCCGCATCCAGGCTGCACCGCTGCTGCTACTCACACGAAACCAAGAAATGCAATTTACTCAAGTCATGCGCCAGCCACGCCGCGCCACACCGCTTTTCCCACTCGCGGTGTTGCTGCTGATGTGCTGCGCCAGTGGGTGTGTTGCTGCTGTACCCGCCACACAGTACCAGTGTGGGTTTGACGTGGTGAAGAGGAGGAACGGCCCCGCTGTCGACTGCGGTGGTGCATGAGGTGCCGCGCAAGGGACAGGGCGCGATACAGACGTACACCGTCGCCACACAGGATGACGACAGTGGCTGGGAGCCGATCCGCATGGCGGTGTCCACGGAGGATCTGGAGAGAGGCACGAACAAGAGGAAGAAGTACTGCGAAGAGGGAGAGGATGAGTGCTACAATGCATTGGGGCACAGGGTGTCATGCAAAGCAGAGCATTTCCTGACGGAGGCAAAGAAACAATCGCACACTGGAAAGATTCTTCCCGGTGCCGTCAAACTGCACACTGAGCGACTCCTTGTGAAACCCACTGGTGGGACGATAACTGTACCGAGGGCTATGAATGGACCGTGCAGCCACTTTACGGTTCCTACCAGGCACAAGAGTGACGGTGTGCCGAATGCAGATTTTATCATCTACGCTGCTGCTAGGCCATCAGGCACGAATAGCAGGGCTGTGTGGACGGCCGCGTGCAACACATTGACAGATCTTCGCCCCTACATTGGCGCCATGAACTTTGATCCGAAGTACTTGACTGACACGGCGTGGGGCGTTCGCGTTGCCGCACACGAAATTGCGCATGCACTTGGGTTCAGCCAGGAGAGCATGAGAGAAAAGAGTCTGCTGAAGAAGCGAGAGAGAAGTGTGCGTGGGAAGCACCGCAGGATGGTGGCAGGGAAGCACGTTCAGGAGAAGACGAAAGCGCACTTTGGTTGTAAGTCTCTCGAGGGCATGGAGCTGGAGGACGAAGATGGCCCTCGGGAAAAAGAAATCCCTCACTGGAAGGGACGCCACGCGCGGGACGAGCTGATGGCCCCCGCAGTTGGTGCCGGCTACTACACGGCTCTGACGATGGCGGTTTTCGCGGATATGGGATACTACCGCGTGAATTGGAGCATGGCGGAGCCGATGAGCTGGGGCAGCCGCAGTGGCTGCGACTTCCTGGAGAAGAAGTGCAATACAACCGATAATCTTGCCGCCAAGTATCCTCACATGTTTTGCGATGCTACCGACACAGAGACGCTTCGCTGCACCTCCGACCGCCGTCACGTTGGGACGTGCACCGCAAGCATCGTTGAGGACAAGGGGAGTCTGGTGGATAAGGACGTTTGCCCTGTCGTTTCTTCCGAATTTTACGAAATATCGTCTGGGACAACGTACAGGACGTGCTCGGACGAAAATGTGGATTATCTCCCTTGGTCGCTGATTGGCGGTGACTCGTGGTGCCTGAACGCGGAATTACTGGAGACGAAGGACGGTAATGGCCATAAAAGCGTCAAGGGAGTGTGCGCGCAGGTGTCGTGTGAGGAGGGCACAGTGAGGGTGAGGCACCTCGGCAGCAGTGGGTTTCAGCCTTGCCCTGAGGACACTGACATCCCAGTGACGTTGAAAGATTTTCAGGAAGATGGGAGGATCAAGTGCCCCACGTACGGCGAGGTGTGCACCTTTGCCGCGAACGGCAGCAGTCTTGTCGTTCCGAGTGCGTTGGTGGATGGACAGGGTGACGAGCAATAGGAGGAAGCAGAAGAGTCTGCGGTTGCTTCAGGGTCGCCTTCTCCGGAGAATACTCGTCCACAGTTGTCTCCTGTGGCGTCTGGTGCCTCCATTGAAAAGGAGCCTCCCGGTGCTTCGGCTGCGGGTGTCGCTGGTGGTGGCCTTCATGCCGGTCCGAGGGGTGATCCGGGGGTGCAGACCGAAAGTGAGGACAACACTCAGCGGCGAGGGAGGACACCTGGCAGTGGAAGCGACGGAGCCAACAGAGACTCCGGCCCCGACGCTTTTTTTTTTTTGCGCCATCACCCGGCGAGGACGTTGCACGAGCGGAGGGCGACCCGCGGGCGGATTGCCCAGCGGTGATTCCCAGTGCCTCCGCGCCTGCCACTCCGATTCCGTCCGTCAACAGCGACGATTTTCAGGCGATACCCGATGCGTTGGTACAGCAGGCCGACAGTGATTGTTGTGTGGCTGCTGCTACCGCTGGCCTCATTCCCTTTGTGCTTCTTGTTGTGGTCGCTGCGGCGGTAGTGGTGGTGCCTCTTTGAGCAGCCGCGGCGGCTGGGCGCAATCAAACTGCGGCAGGGCGACAGTATTTACTTGGCACATTGGCCCCGCACTCAAGATGTGCAAAACCGTAGCAATAACACTATAATACACTCACTGCGTTCCCCATGTCCTTCGTTGCTTGCGGGTGATGGGCAAAATGACCGGTCTTTTATTGCCTTGTTTGTTATTCTGGGAAAAGGTGTTTTTGTTTTATTGCTTAGAGGGTCTAACTTCCGTGGAAACTGTGTGTGAACGAAGTAACATGGAGAGAAAAGACAGTTCCCAGCACCACATGTATACACTCGTTTTTTGATGCGATTGGGACGAGGGGAAATCACCGTACTCTAATCATGAGTAAAATGTAAAGGAAATGTGCTCCAATGGAGGCGGGGTCGTGCCAGTAGCTGTTTCCCTGAAGGACAGGGACGACTGCCTCTGCCTCCGTAATTGGTGCATGCGGCTTTATCTTTTACACTTTTGCTTGTTTTTGTGACTTTGCTTTTTTTGTGCGTCATTGCGAGAATGTGGACCTCAAATAATTTCTGTGCTTCGGCTTTCAATCTGCATGCGTCCTTTTTATTTCTTTGCATTCCCGATTTTTGCATCCGTTTTTGAATGGCTGTGTGTGTTTCGGGTGCTCTGCTGCACTGTCGGTAGTGTGTATTAATTCCTTCTGTCCCTGCTCTTCTGATTGTGAAAACACGCTGTGGGTCAGGGTGCATGGCTCCGTGGTTGCGGCACTATTTGTTGTGGTTGCGTTGGGGCAGCCCCGACAAGACTGCCAACGTGTGGCTCTTGGGTGTCTCGTTGGGCTCATTTTCGTCTCCTGCGCGATGGACTCCCGTCTTCGGCGCACCCTTTCGTGCAGTGGCGTCAGTGCAACAAGGTGGCAATGTTGTTGTTGTCGCTGCTTCAGCTGTTTTGTTTTTCCCTCTGGTATTGTGAGGTGCAGGTGCCGGATGTGGCGGCAATGAGCCGAAGATAAGGAAGGAGGAGGATGGTGCGTGCGTGCGGGAGGACCCTGCGGTGTTGCAGCGGTGCGCACTGTTTGCGGGCTTGATGCGCCCCTTTGGTGCATGGCGTGTCTTGGTGTGTCCTTCTTGCCGTGTGTGGTGCCAGCCGGCTTTTCACGATTGTGGCAATGGCGTGTTGACAGCTGTGTTTGGGTTGGCGTTGGCTGTTCCACCCTCTGGGGCTACGACGACGGACGCGTCACAATGAGCGACAACAATCGCGCACGACGCCTGGTCTGCAGGCAAGTGACGCATCGATTGCCGACGCGGCGCGGCCCTCTTGCCTTTTTCGTCCCTCTGGTAGCCTACAGTCTGATGTCTAGCCGTAGTGGTCTCCTCTTTTCTCACTCATTTTGTGTGTGACCGCATAAACTGACCACAACAATTGTACAACACAAGTATTACAGAGTGCAGGGCTGTGTGTGTGTGCCTGCTGCCGTGGATTGGAGTGTGTGTCGTGCGTGGTGTGCGGCGTACGGTGCATGCCTGGCTGCTGCCCTCTCCTCATGTGGTGTGCCCTCTGTGTGTGTCTGCCGCACCTCTCGTCTCCCCTGTTGCTCTCCATGTCCCTCACTGTGCAGATCAGCTCCACACCACTGAACGACCACACTCACGATGATGATGACGTGCCGTCTGCTGTGCGCCCTGTTGGTGCTCGCCCTGTGCTGCTGCCCTTCCGTGTGTGCGACAGCAAGTGAAATTAAACCTCAACAAAAGGCCGATCCAACGAAGTCTAATCCTGACGGACAAGCTCTGGTGACGGATTCGCCTAGTGCAGCTCATCCTTCGCCACTGTCAAAAGATAAGAAAGAAGCGGCAGAGTCAGAAAGTAATTCCAATGATCTACAGGAAGAATCCGGGAAATCTGCTGGGGAAGAGGCGGATCGTGAAGAGACCGATAACGCAAATGACAACAATAAGAAATCAAATGCACCATCTACGACCACCACGACTACAACAAAGGCACCAACCACAACGACAACGACGACGACCACCACAACTACCACAATGGCACCAAGTACTACGAGTACAAAGTCGCCAACCACGACGACCACCCGCGCACCGTCACGTCTTCGCGAAATCGACGGCAGCCTCAGCAGCTCTGCGTGGGTGTGTGCCCCGCTGCTGCTCGCCGTATCCGCGCTGGCGTACACCACTGTGAACTAAAGAATTGTATGCGGGCTGTGCGTGCCAGCGCTCAACCACGGGGATTTTTGTGCGCGTCTACTGTGGTCCGATGTAAATAAATAGGGGAAAATAATGATTTTGTGTTTTGCTTCATTTGCTTCTGCTGCCCTGCTGTGTGCTCCATGTTGTTGCTCCCTGTATCCGTCACGTTGAACGCATCCCAGAAACACTTGTATGCACGAAACGCTCAAAACTGTTTGCGTGGACGCATGTTTTGTGTGCTGTTGCATGCTCACTGGAGCTAACCGATGCAGACTTTTCGTGTTTTTTTACTTTATTGCTCTTTCTTTACTTCTGTTTTGTTTTATTTGCTTTTTCTCATTAATTGCTGCGGGGCGTTGTGTGTGTTTTTTCTCCTCCCACTGATTTCAACTGCCTCATGGTGTGTTTGCTGCTGCTGCCGGGCTGCTGCCATTTGTCACGTTGCGTGGCTGTGTGTGGTGTAGCGGCCGTGTCTCTATTTTTTGGTTCCTCTCTGCGTTGGCGGGGCGTTAGTTTGTGCTGAAGGCTACACGCAAGTGACAGGAGTGATGGCGATGATGACTGGCCGTGTGCTGCTGGTGTGTGCCCTCTGCGTGCTGTGGTGCGGTGACGGCGGTAGATGTGACGAGGCGGACACGGCAGTTTCTGGGATAGGTGGTGGATCTCTGCCGGAATCAAAAGGAGTTGTAAAGTCCCCAGAAGGACCCCAAGGCTTAAAAGATGAAGCACGAAGTGGTAAAGGGAAAAAACCTCCCACATCTTCAGAGGATGAAGCTGAAGAAGATGAAGAAGAAGAAGATAATGATGATGATGATGGTCCAGGGACAGATGAAGAAGAAAGAACTGAAAGTCAAGGTGATCAAGAAGTGGCAGTTAGATCAGACCCAAATTCCGGGGAAAAGGAATTTAAGTGGCAGCGATAAGAAAACAGGACAGGCAACTCCATCTACACAGGGCATTTCTCATTCCGACACTCAGGAATCAAATGCCATTCTTACGCAAACGGAAGTTGAAGAAAAGAATGAGACTGACGAAAATACACCTGCAGCAGAGAACGCACTCACAACAGGTAACGGAGAGAACACACTGCCTGCTGGAATTGTGGAAGGAAATCTTCCATCATCTTCAAAAGACAGTGTTGATTCCCGCGAAAAGGATGGCGAAGACACCACGAGTGAAGATAAAAAAAATGTTCCGTCGCCTGCGACCTCAGCCACACCACAAAGCCACCGAAACAAAGGCTCAGAAGGGACTGGGGAAGATACAAAAGCAACGACAGTAACCGCCAATACAACTGATACGACGAATACACAAAACAGTGAAGGCAGCACCGCGGTCTCCCACACCACCTCCCCTCTTTTGCTTCTTGTTGTTGTTGCGTGTGCGGCTGCTGCTGTGGTGGTGGCCGCGTGAGAGTGAGGGAGAGAGAGCCGTGCACCGCCCGCACACACACTCGTCCTTCTCCCTCTCTGTGTGTGTGTCCCCTTGCATGGACTCTCGCCCTCACCTCACCCCACGAGGCACACACATAATGTGCCCATTGTATATTGCATGCACACCCATGCAGGCCCGTTGGTGCTCTCTTTTGCACCACACGCACCGCTGCCGTCCTGCCTGGCTGCATGGGCGGAGCACCGTAACTGTTTTTGTTTTGTTTCCATTGCATTGAGTGGGCGACCTCTCTCTCTCTCTCTGTGTGTGTGTTTTGCTTTACGGGAGCAATGAGAGTGTGTGCGCTGGTCGTCCCACGGTTCGGCTTTTTTGTTTTACTTGTGTTGTGTTTGAGTGCACCCATTACCCTTGTTTTTGAATTGGTGGGTTTTTTTTATTACCGATGCGTGATTTTTTTTTTCTTTTTTCTTTCGTTTGGAGAGAGTGTCAGTGTTTCTTATCCTTGTCAAGTCGTCAAATGTTTTCTTTTACGTACAGCATGCGTCAGTTGATCCACGTCACCCTACGGTCTCCAGTGCTGCTGGTGCTTCTGGTTGTGATGATGTTTGATGTGCCGGCGTGTGCTTTGCTGCCAGCCTGACGTACTCCTGCTCCTCTGACAAAGCGATGCGTGCGGACAGGGAAAAGTCGATCCCGGCTGTGGTGAGGGACGTGCCTTTTGGATATGAGGGTGCGTCGCAGACATGCACCGTCATTGGGAGGAATGGATGGGCGCCCACCCGCATCGATGTGTCGACAAGGGACCTGGATGATACCAGGAAGTATTGCAGCTCAGAGCGGTATTGCGCAATGAATTCATTGGTGGCAATTGCGATTGCGAAGGTGACATTGTTTTTCTATGCTGAGAAAAGGGAGGTATTTGTTTCGTTATACTTTGCTGCCACTGTTCGTTTAATGGCCTGCGGGCTGTCCGTAGCGATGTGGCCGGTTTTTCCTTCTTGAACGTTGCTGTCGTGCGAGAGGGTGTGTTCCCAAATAGTCGGATGCTCAGTTGTCGAGGACGCGGCATTCCCACAGCGTGTGCGGCAGGGCCTCCCGTGTATTGTCGGGGCTCAGCGGCTGGTGGGGGTTGCAGCAGAGGAGTGGCTGAAGGGCTACGGCTTTCATTGGAGCTTGCAGAGGTGCGTTGTCCGTTTTTTGCTCGTTGATACGCTTGACATTTTCGGTAGTGACCTGCGCGTGAGGCACTTGTTGGGAAGACCGTGGAGCTGTCGCAGAATCCACGTGTGAGGCCTTCTGCAACGATTGGAGTGCCAGGGTTAGTGCGTCGGCCGTGTGCCTTCATATTGTGGACGGACGAGAAGACGCTGCTGCAGCTTGGGCAGGACGACGTTGATCCGCTACTCGTCATTCTACGAGGAGGTGCCGTGGACACGCCAGGTGGAGGTTCCGGAGGAGGTCCGGGCGGTCCTGCCTCCTCAGTGTGAGGAAGGGACGGCACCACCGACATAAAGGGTTGCTTGTGATCCGCAGGGCGCGTGCCGGTCTGCCGAGGAGTGGGCAGGAGGACGTCCATCAGCCGCTTGTTGGTCGGCGAGGAGTGGCGGTGCTCACGTCGGGAAGAGGTTCCGGTGGAGGCGGAGCGCAGACGCGATCCCAACAGCACCGCAGCACAGCCGATCCCAGAGGGCAGGGAAGTGGCGCCGCCATGCCTCGGGGCATCACAGGCCTGGGATCGAGAGGGCACCAAGCTGTTTCGCACGGACCTCTAGCAGCGTAGAGAAGCCACGGCGGAGGGCATGATTGCGGTCCTCCCGTTTGCGGAGCACTTCAGCTCGGGGCAGGCTGCCGCTGCAACACACTCGGCCTGCTACATTCCGTCCGTCCAGGTTCCTGTGGGACTGTCACGGCTGCCGCTCGCACGGTGCCTCGGTGCATCTCCAACCATGTGATTACAGCAGCCAGAGGCGTTGCACACGCCGAGGTGGAAGCATCACAGTCAGCTTCACGCAGGGAAAAAAGCATCATGTTTCCGTCGTGGCAGCATGCCTGCCTGTCGCGGGATGCCGTCCTCCGTCCCTGCAGTGTGGGATGGCAGATGGTGGTCCGAGTCCGTGTAAACGGGTGGACGCCCAGTGGGAGACACACAGTGCGCGTTGCGCAGTCACGTCGGGAAACGAGACGCTGCGGCCGCTGAACCGCGTTGCCTGTGCCGGGTCGTCGGACAGCCAAAATTCCATGCCGGTTGGGGTGGCGGCGAGGTCCTCTCCTGCCGTCGTTGATGGTGAGCAACCGTCCCGCAGCTCATGATGTGAAAAGCGACGAATGTTGCTCGCAAAGTGAGCAGTGTGAGCCATTGCCGTGGGAAGGCTGCAGAGGTTCACCGCGTACATACTGGGGCAGGCCGGTGGGCACACGCGGAAGGCGGTGGTCTCCACGCAGTTGGTGCCACAAGCAACAGGCGCTCGCACGGCAAGGTGTGGCGCACCAAGAAGGCCACGCCACCGGCACGACCACTGCAGGCCTGGTGGAAGTCACCGCAGTCAATGAGCCTCGTCGCTGGGGCACTCTCGTGCCGGCACTCCTGCAGAAGAACCATGCCGGGATGGTGCTGCGCCAGTCGAGCAGCAGGGGCAATCCCGAAGGGCGAATGGCCTGAAGTTCTGAGCTGCCAGACAACTAAAAGGCCATCCTCATCGGAGCTGCGGTTCTTGCGGACACCACCGCAGCGGGTGACGCCGTCGTGGTCCCCATCACGCTCGCAGCAATGCCCTGCCACAATCACTCCCACAGAGAGACAAGGAAGAGTGTGTGGATGTGTGCGGAGAGCACAGCGACTGTCATCGTCAGAGGAGGCCATCGTGGCACCGTCCGTCAGTCGTCAGCACACAACGAGCAACGCCCGCAACCGGAAGTGCAAAAACAGAGGGGAGAAAATGACCCCAAGAGCAGGCAGCACCCTCACGCATAGCGGGCATCGTGCGGCCACGTCATCATTCCAGCACGGAACGCAAGCCCACGCCCCGCTGTCGCCAACAGCATTCATGCAGACCACTGTGCAAATACTTATGTGTGTGTGCTGGAAGAGCAGAAAAAAGAGGGAGCACAGGGAGGCACATCAGCACAGCAAGAGGCACAGCTGGATGGCAGCGATACATGCGGTGCGGCCCCAACCTCAACAATCACGCACGGTGGCAGCACACACCCATCCACAAAAACAAAACAAAAGGAAACAAAACAGAAGAAAAACACGGAGGCAGGGTGTGGCTGTGTGTGTGGCGCTGCGGGTGTCTGCCCGCCCTGGCCGCAAAGAAACAAAACAAGAGGGAAAGAAATGTGTGCTCCGCCCCACAGGCCCTCGTCGCACGCCCACACGTCACGGCTTCCTCAGCGCGCCGTTCTTCGCGGCCCCTCCTCATGCGTGCAGCAGGCGAGGCGCACAGGGCCGTCGTCATGAGCGTGTCGGTGGGTGTGCGAGTGGAGCAGTTGGGCGGGAAACACACGGCACCCCTCACAGGAAGAGCGCAGAAGAAACAATTAAAAGAGGGAAGAGTAGAAAAGAAAAAAACTTCCATAGTGATTGCCCCCAAAAGCAAAAAAGAGAACAGAAGAGGGATTAGAGGTTTAAAACGCACAAATTAATAACAAAAAAGTAGCAAAAAAATTTAGAGCAAACAGGAAAAAAACTAAAGAAATTAAAGAAACAAAAAAAGACGAAGCGTGGGACGACCAGCGCACACATTCTCTCATTGCTCCCGTAAAGCAAAACACACACACAGGGAGAGAGAGAGAGAGAGGTCGCCCACTCAATGCAATAAAAACAAAACAAAAACAGTTACGGTGCTCCGCCCATGCAGCCAGGCAGGACGGCAGCAGTGCGTGTGGTGCAAAAGAGAGCACCAACGGGCCTGCATGGGTGTGCATGCATATATACAATGGGCACATTATGTGTGTGCTTCGTGGGGTGAGGTGAGGGCGAGAGTCCATGCAAGGGGACACACACACAGAGAGTGAGTGAAAAATGAGTGTGTGTGCGGGCGGTGCACGGCTCTCTCTCCCTCACTCTCACACGATCGCCACCGCAGCAGCAGCCGCACACGCAACAACAAGAAAAAGCAAAAGAGGGGAGGTGGTGTGGGAGACCGCGGTGCTGCTGTCACTGTCGCCAGGCGTCGCCGTACCATTTATTCGAGCGGCGGTGGTTGTTTTTGCTGTTTGTGGTGCTGTCTCACTGAGAGTTGGAACAACGTTGGTATTGCCAGTTTCAAGGCTGTCGTGTTGTTCTTCAGAGCTTTGAGCATCATCCTTATCTGCCTTATTCTGGACATGATCACCGCTGCCACTTGTAGAGGAAGATGAGGTTGTTGGTTCTGCTGGACTGCCGGCTGCTGCATTCTTCCTCGAATCCTCTGTGTCTCTGTCATGGCTGTGCTGCCCTTGTGTAGCATCCCCTGAAGGCGGTTCCGGTGCTTTTGATTCCATTTTGGATTCTGACGGCATGTTTTTGTTCTTTACTTTTTTTTGATTCTGTAAGTTTTCTTGATCAGGTAGTGGGCTTTCTTCACCCTCTGATGATGGTAGTAATGGTGGTGTTGTTTCTCCTCCATTATTTTTACTTTCGCGAGACCTGGTTTGTGCTTTATTTTTTTGTTTTTCTCTTCCTGTTTTTTCATCTTCTCTCTGTTCATCATCGCCCGAATTATTGCGAGGGTCAACATCTCCTTTTGTCTCTGTGTCCCTGGGCAATTGTTTAATGCCGGAAGTACCCATCGAAGAGGGGTTTTCACCAGAACGAGTGGAAGTGCTGCCAGATGAAGAGGACAATTGATCGGTGGTTTGGTCTTGGGACTCCTTTGGCTCTTTGCTGCCGGGATCCAAGTTTTTTTTTTCATTCCCTTCTTGACCAGCCACAGGTAACTGCCCGCCTTCATCACCTGTCCCTGACACTCCAGGCCCAGACACCGGCAAGGATGCTGCTCCTGCACCTGCAGCACCCTGCCCTCCTCCTGCACCAGGCGCTTCATTGCCCCCAATACCAGCCAGCAGACTACTAGGCGATTTTCCTCCCACACTGTCCAATGGGCCATCAAGACTTTCTAATTCTTCTCCTTCTCTTTCCCCAGCTGCAACCGCCTTTATTAATCCCATTCGGGTGAAATCAACCCGAAATCCGCCTTCAGGCGCAGTCCGTTATTCCCTCCATTATGCGTGTGCGTCAAGACGTTCCCATCACCCTCAACGCAGCGGTTGTCCCTTGCAGCTCCAAAAACAGTGAGGCACCACAGCACGCAGAGGGCACACACCAGCAGCACACGGCCAGTCATCATAATCGCCATCACTCCTGTCACTTGCGTGCAGCCTTCAGCAAAAACTAACGCCCCGTCAACGCAGAGTGAAAGCAACAAAAGAGAAAAGAGAGACAAGTCACTCAGCCACGTACAGTGACAACAACAACATCCCATCAACACCATAAGGCAGAGGGAATCGGTGCGATTGCAAACAACACACACAGCCCTGCAAACCAGAATCCAAAAAGTAAAGACGCACAACAACAGAGTTGAGAGTCCGGAAGACTCCCAAAAAGTAAAAAAATGAAAAAATGATCAGGCACGACTTTCATTTCATGTGCCATGTGGCACAAAACGACCGTGTTTTTGTCTATACATATTGCCTGCACAAGGAAAAACAATAAAATCAAAAATAAAACAGATCGTACTGTTCCACCAGCACACAAAACACCCCTCACACTTCATTGCGGCATCCGGCCTGATCCTCCAATCCTCCTTTTTTTTGTGCAGTCCACGGCACGCACAGCAGTAAGGCTGGCAACGCTGTGGGAAAGGAAGAAAATAAAAGTAAGAAACACGTCACCCATTGCAGTGTACGGCGATTAAACATCGGAGGGAAAAAGAAAAAGAAGGGCTGCTGACTATCCCATCCGTGCAAAAGCAGCAGACAATAAAAAAGAATCATTTAAATAAAGCAGAGAAAACACGCGGAAAAAGCGGCACGTACTGTCCATTAGAAATCGCACAACCGCATTCTACGGCTCATAAAAATGCCATTTCCCCACACACTCCTTGAAGTAGGGGCAGAAAATGCCCAAGGCACACACCCATGGACGGCACCGTCACCAATTCATTTTGGGAACAATAAAACAGTAGAGCCATTGGCATCAGTGGTGCTGTTTCCCGCGCCAAATTCCCCCTTTTGGCGGGCACTGGCACCGCTTCCCCCGCAGCCGCGTCAATGCCCAGATCCTGTGGCAGTTTGGCCAAAAAATTCCCGGGGCACAGTGTCGCTTTTCCCTCCTTGCAATCCGCTTCAGTCTGCTTGCCACGCAAAAGGGACATCTGTAGTTCTTGCCTGGTCAGTGGGCGGTTGCACAGACAGAAATGCGCCAGCGTCACCTGACTGGAGCCTGAGCCACTGCAACCGTCACCTCCAACGTAGAAGCATGAGACGTCGAGCAACTGCGCCCCACGTGTAACTGTCGTTGCTGAGCTCCCCAAAGTTTTGCCATCCACGCACACGCTGCCCATGCCGTTCTGGAGCACGACTGCCACCCGGTACGTTCTCTCCAGCCCCCAGTTCCCGTGCTGCACTTCTCCCGCCTCACCGTCAAACGTCGCCTACCGCTTATTGTCCGCCGTGACTGACAGTCCCACCATCCTCACGCCCCCAGCGCCACCCACAACAACCATAATGGCGCTGCCGCTGCCCGCAGGAGCCGCCCCAATCGTCGCCGTCACCAAAAGAGTGAACTCCTTGTTCACAATGTGGAAGCGTTGATTCCGCCACCGATTACCCATACGCCACTCTGCCCACACTCCAGGCCCCTCAAACGTCGCACCGCCCTCAACCTTCGTTGCTGTCCCAATCACCGTGGCACTCGCCGCGAGATATTCGTTCACCCAGCAATCCCTCTCACCCTCGTTGGACAAATATCCGACCAGCCCATCCGTGGGCATAGGAGTGCTGCAGGCACCGTCGGATGCGGTTCCCTCTTTGCTGGTGGAAGTGCAAGGCGTTTCGACGTTCTTGTCGACTGCATCCCAATTCCTCAGCGCAGTATTTATTTCATCCAGTTACTCAGTGAGGTGTGCGAGCACAACACGCCCTTGTCCTGCATTCCACTCGTACAGGGCAAACACTTCACCACCCTTGTACTGCAGAGTATCTGCGTTTTTAGAAACACCATCAGCAAATAACAGTCCAATGGGGTAAAATCGATTCATATCAGTCATATAAAGACGCAACACGCTCGTGGCTCTCCGAATATTATTCTGCCTGGGAAAGGCAAACAGCATTACACTCCTCCCCTCGATGGATACCGTCACAATTTCGAGTCGGCCACAAGTCGTAGCACTCTTCAAGGCCTCACTCAAGACATTCAAATGTGCTCCGCCAAATTACATCCATTCCTCCCCCATTTCACCGGAATCATGCACTTTCCCGTCATGGCCGCCATGCGTGGCGACCATGAGGGGGTTTCCCTCCCACTCGAAAATATTGGGATCAGCGCAATCCCGTCAGCAAAACCCTCCGCAGGGAACCCCCAATTCCCGCCACAGCCCTTCGAATGGATGATGTTGCAGACTTTTGTGTTGTCCCCCTTCACAGCCACAAGGGGAAACAAAATCGCGGTGCCATTCGCCACCACGCCCCTGCCGCCAATACCCCAGAACCCATTCCATGACTTCGCTCGTAGCTGAGAGTCAACAACAGCGTTGGAAAGGCTCCCAGCACCCCACGTGATGCGCTTGCCCACATCGTTGGAGACCAAAAACGTCACCCAAAAAAGGCACAAGCTCCCAAATGTGTGGAGTTTCCAAAATCGCGCTGGCGTTTTTCGCAGGAAGGCGTTCCACAGGCAGAAAAATATTGCCGTCTTTCGTCAACGCCTTGGGACCGTTCAATTGAGACGCGTGACCCGCCTCTTCTCTTCGTTCCACGGCAATGACCGTCCTCCAGTCCGTCACGCTCTCCGCTGCGATTCCTTTCGTCCACTCCTCCCGTGTAAAACTCACGTACTTTGACCAAATGCCAACACTGGCACTAGAAGGGACTCCCTAATTGACCTTGGCAATACCCACAATCAAGCCATAGTATTTCAAAAAGAAAACGGCCAATAAAGAATTTGAAACCATTTTATCCATAGCTGTTGCCTCTCAAACGCGCCAGAAGACACCTTCGTTTCCCACCATACAAAAATAGCCATAGGCTTTGGATCACCCACCCTCTTCGCATGCGCAACTCCAGCGCCGCAGCACATCATCACGACGAGGAGGAGCACCGCAAAAGTAAACACACGCCGGGACATGTTGGGCCTCTGCGGCTCACTCTCTCTTCCTTCCGCTGGATCCGGTCACGTGGCGACGGTTGTGTGTGCGGGGTGCCTTCACTGCAGCAACACGTGAGAGCATATAAATATGTGTGTGTGGGCGGTGTGTGTGCTGTTGTTCCTTTCAGTGCCTTCGAATTTCACAGTAGCGATTAGCGCTTGTTTGCTTTCCTTTTCAAGTGTGTGTGTGTCAGAAATGGGGAGAAGAGCACAGGGAAGCACATTAGACACACCAATGGGGTGCACAGCGTGTCACTGCAGCAGCAGCAATCATTTATTCCAACCACTCACACGCCGAGGTTGAAGGGCTGTGTGTTTTTTCAAAAAAGGCGACGCACGACCACCAACAGACGTGCCAGCGCTCATAGCCAAAAAAAAAAAAAAAAGGGATACCCGCCTCGTGGGCAACAGGACAACATCTTCGGCCCACACAAAAGCAGCGGGAAAAGCACTAAACAGACAACAGTCAGCGGCACACACGCCAGACCCAGCTGTGCCGCACGGAGCCAGTCGCCTGCCCTGTTGCTGAGAAACACAGCATGGAATATCCGCCGGCCATTGCGTCGGGGATGCACGCCAAGCCGTGCACAAAATCCCACCAGGACCCAAAGCATTAACTCTAACTTCGCACACATCCCCCATAGTCGCATCCTCGCCATTCCGAGCTGTGCCTCAGAAAGTGGTGAAGGGCAGCGTCGAAGGAGTCAAACGCCTCCGCACCGTCGCAGTGCATCAGACTGAATGAAAGGCCAAAGTCCTCCACACTCATCACAGACGCGTCACACGCGCCGCCGTACTTCTCCCTCATGGAACGCCAATCAAAAGTAAATGTCAACTCCCTCTTTCCCAGGGCGGCAGCGTGGGCCATTTCAAACGCCGTCCCGCAGTCCGGCCCATCCAAGCAAAACAGACACAGGTCCGCAATGACGGCGTCACGCCGCCTTACCATCTCCATTTTCTTCACCCACATCTCCCCAGCCCCTGGGGCCACGTTTCCAGCGGGAATGAGCGGCAACGCGCAGTGCACCCACAGAGGCGTGCGCACACGATCCTAGCACGCCGCACCCGTGTCTGCGTCGAACACAGCGGGGTCAGCAATGTACACTCCACACATTGTGAAACTGCCACCTTGGCTCCTGTCCCTCCGCTCCTCCAAACGTAAAAGAAAAGGAAGCGGAAGAAGTAAATCAGAGAACGGCGCCGTCGCAACAAGGCAGAAGCACGAGGAGCACCACTCACGCAGGACAGGCGTCGCCCGCAAGCAACGGAAACACAAGTTGAAGACAGAGGATGCCAGGAGCACAAAAATGCAGGACTCCTCGGAAGACTGCGCCCTCAACAAAATGCACCCGCGGCAAGCAAATTAAGAACAAATGTGACGTCGCTGACGCGGCAAGCGGCAGACAGCGACGGGCAAGGTGCCGCTGACGCTACTGCATTGTCCACATTCCTCTCCGCCGCACTCGCCCAGCGCCCGGCGTGGAGCGTGACGCAGAAACAAAAAAAATAAAAGATGCAGATCGCATCGTTAGAGTTTGGAGGGTCCACGTATTGCGGACAACGGGCCCACGCATGTGCCGTCCATGCCGCCTACATCAGGACACCTCGGAGAGGAGAAATACGGCCTCCACGCCATACAGTGCGTTGCTGGGGCGGCACGGTAGTGGTGAGGCAAACACACACACACCTCATCCACAATGCGGCAAGTGAACGGCAAAAGAGCACAGCAACCACAACGCAAACTCCACACACGCGCAGAAGAGAGCGCGCACAGCCCGTCACTTGTTTGTTAGTGAGTGTGTGCGTGGGATGGACGCCACACCAGCAGCAGCTTCGACGGCATCGACGTCTCATACAATAAAACACTCGGCATCTCCACCTCGTGACGCCGGGCCCCAGAAAAACAATATGTGGGCGCAGCGCCTCCACCCTTCAAGCCAGAAGCACGGCGCATCCAACAAACCCGCCTCCCACCCCATCGTGTGGGCAAGACGATGCAGCGGAAAGCTCACACATTAATGCCAGCAATACAATCCCCACGCGCTGTGCACCACAGTGTCAGCTGCGTAAGCATTTGCGACTTTCAGACAATGCAGAACAAAAACAAAAAATGCATTGGCGATGCACAGTGGTCCGAAAGAAAAACGTATATCACAGCCATCCTCCGTCTGCAGCACGGGATAGTGGCCGCACAGGCTGCAGTTGTGGCCGTACTCGCACGCCTTCAGCGTTCACAGCGTGTGCAAAATGACGTGTGTGTGTTTACTTATGCTTGTGTGCATGTCAGCGCCTATACCTGCAGAGCAGCTATGCCGCAGAAGAGAATTCAAAGACAACAAGGGCAGAGAGAAGGACAGCACACACAAATTACTCACCTCATCAGAAACACACGCAGCCGGTGGAATGCGTGCACTCAACCACAACACAAGTAAAACAAACAAAGCCGAAGCGTGGGACGACCAGCGCACACACTCTCATTGCTCCCGTAAAGCAAAACACACACACAGGGAGAGAGAGAGAGAGGTCGCCCACTCAATGCAATAAAAACAAAACAGAAACAGTTACGGTGCTCCGCCCATGCAGCCAGGCAGGACGGCAGCGGTGCGTGTCGTGCAAAAGAGAGCACCAACGGGCCTGCATGGGTGTGCATGCATATATACAATGGGCACATTATGTGTGTGCTTCGTGGGGTGAGGTGAGGGCGAGAGTCCATGCAAGGGGACACACACACAGAGAGTGAGTGAAGGACGAGTGTGTGTGCGGGCGGTGCACGGCTCTCTCTCCCTCACTCTCACGCGGCCACCACCGCAGCAGCAGCCGCACACGCAACAACAATAAGAAGCAAAAGAGGGGAGGTGGTGTGGAAGGCCGCGGTGCTGCCGTCACTGTCGCCAATCTTTGTCGTCGTATCATTTGTGTTGGCGGTTCCTGTTGATTGGGGTGATGCCTCACTCATTTTGACGGTGCTGCTCTCACCAACGTCAGTCGGTGTAGTGGAACTTGTTTGAGTGGTAACGGCGGGTGCGGCTGTGGAAGTTTCCCGAGGTTGTTCCAAGAAAGGAGTGACATTTTCACGTTCCTGCCCCTCTTCTGACGGTGCGGCATCAAAAGTTTCAGTACTCCCCGGAGTATCTTCTGTGCGTTCCCCACTATTACTGCTGACAACATCGTCGTTACCTGAAGGAGATGGCGGATCAATACTCTGTTGATTTCCATTTGATACTTTCGTATTGTCCTCTTGACTGGGTGAAGTCCCCGGCCTTCCTGGTGGACCTTCGTGTTGTACATCTTGCCGCTTTCCGCCCGATGATTGTGAATTTGTCAGTGAATCCGTAGGCTCGGAGCTGGATGGTGTCTGCTGTGTTGTTGATACAGGCTGCAAAGGAGCTTCCAATGACACTTCCCTTGATGCGGAACCCTCAACGTTGTTCAGCTGTGTTTGCTCTGCGGAATGTTTTCCCGCTCCATCAGGCACCGTATGATCGACAGGATTGTGGGTAACTCCAGCACCACTCGCAGGATTAACAGGTGGGCCGACATCAGGTAGCTGACCCTCAGTGCATCCGCCTCCGCCGACACCGCACCACAGCACGCAGAGGGCACACACCAGCAGCACACGGCCAGTCATCATCATCGCCATCACTCCTGTCACTTGCGTGCAGCCTTCAGCACAAACTAACTCCCCGTCAACGTAGAGGGAAAGGCAAAAGAAGAGACACGGCACAGTAAAAAACACCAGCAGCAGCAGCAAAGCAACAAATGATAGCAGCCCAGAAGCAGCTTGCCCACATACCATGAGGCAGTTGAAAACAGTGAAAGGGCAAAAACACAACGCCCCATAGCAACCAAACAAAAAAAAAAAACACACGAAGCAACTAAAAACAAAAAAAAAAAAAACAGGTAAACGAACAGCAATGAAGTAAAAGCAATTAAAAACACACAAAACAAAGGGCTGCACAGTATGGCTCCAGTTTGCATGCATCCACACGCAAAAAGTTGTGTGCGTGCCATGCATATATTGCGTCTGGGATGCGTTCAACGTGACGGATGTGGGGCACAACGCGGAGCACACAGCAGAGCAGCTGAAGCAAGTGAAGTAAAACACAATCATTATTTTCTCTTATTTATTTACATCGGACCACAGTGGACGCACACAAATCCCCGCGGTTGAGTGCTGGCACGCACAGCCCGCATACACCTCTTCAGCCCACAGTGGTGTACGCCAGCGCGGATACGGCGAGCAGCAGCGGGGCACACACCCACGCAGAGCTGCTGAGGCTGCCGTCCATTTCACGAAGACGTGACGGTGTGCGGGTGGTCGTCGTGGTTGGCGCCTCTGTAGTTGTAGTACTTGGTGCCACTGGCGCAGTGGTGGTTGTTGGTGCCTGTGTTGTAGTGGTCGTCGTGGTTGTCGCCTCTGTAGTCGTTGTAGTACTTGGTGCCTGTGTTGTGGTGGTAGTCGTCGTGGTCGTCGCGGCAGCATCTTCAACTTCCTGTTCCCCTTTGTCTGAAGAAGGATCCGTGGGACTTGGTGGCTCTGTCGCACCGTTCGTACCATTTGACTGTACTGCACTGGAAACTTCATTTGATTGCTTTTCCGGACCGGTAGAGCCTGGTGTAACTGGCGCATTATTTTCTGATTTTCCCGCAGTGGCCCCCGTGCCTGGCGACCCTGACTCACCTTCCACCCGTGGTCCTGACTCTGAAGTAGAAGAACGACTATTGACGCTTCCATCAGCGCCACCCGGCTCGTCAGTGGTTGATAGCTGTGTTGTCCTGTTCGTCGTCTTCCTCGAATCATCAACATTCTCCGGAGACTCTGAGGTGCACACGGACAGGCAGCAGCACAGGACGAGCACCAACAGGGCGCACAGCAGACGGCACATCGTCATCGTGAGTGTGGTCGTTCAGTGGCGTGGAGCTGATCTGCACAGTGAGGGACATGGAGAGCAACAGGGGAGACGAGAGGTGCGGCAGACACACACAGAGGGCACACCACATGAGGAGAGGGCAGCAGCCAGGCATGCACCGTACGCCGCACACCACGCACGACACACACTCCAATCCACGGCAGCAGGCACACACACACAGCCCTGCCGCAGCACCAACACACAGATGGAAGAGGGAGAAGCAAACAGAAGCGGCACACAAGGCTCCACCGCATGCACATACGGCGAGAGCGGTCCGTCGTGTCGGCACCCCTCACGGAGGGTACGCACACACACAAGAGGAGGTGCAGCGCACACAGCAACACAACAGCAAAGAAACAATAAAAAAGGAGAGATCCCCGCACACCACGTGGATTGTTGGTCCATGGGAAGTGCAGTCAATATTCATCACAAAAACAATTCAGTTGCCATCGGTCTTCCTTCATATTCGGCGCACACCACTTCATGCAGGCCTGGACGCCATCGCAGCTGCCGCTGCATAACTGAAAATAAGACGCAAAAGAGGGGAGGTGGTGTGGGACACCTCGGTGCTGCTGTCGCTGTCGGCAGTGGTCGTTGTTCCCTTGTCATTGTTGGTGACTGATGTTGTTGTTAATTCTTCCGGTTGTTTGACTGAGAGTGATGTGGAAAGACAACTGGTGTCCTGACACTTCGTTGATGCCTCCCCTGTCCCGTCGATTTCTGTGCTCGCCGGTGGTGTGGGTGGGTCGCTGGGGTAGGCGAGACGCTGACAGGGCTGCCAGCACCATCTGACTGAACCTGGTCTGCCTTGTTCTCGTCCCCAGTCCCGCTGCACCAGCTGCTGGGGGCGGTGCAGCAGTCATGCCAGAAGCACCAGCAATGGGCTGGGGTGTCGGCCGCATCAATCAATGGGTGTGTGCCCGCAATCAATAGGAACATGCATCGACAGGGACGTCTGCACCGACGCTCGGGGATGGGGGAACAATGGCGCCAAACGGAACAGTGCATGCCACCCCGGAAAATCCGCAAGGCTTATTGGCGCGGGCTGCGTCGTGGTCTCGCGGCGACGGAAATAAATGACGACGCGAGTGGCGTTCTCGTCGTGCGTCCACTCCTGCCACTGCTTGCAGTAAACCCATTCCCTGATTACATTGGATTCCGCCTGAGAAACCAATTAAAATGTTCTTTCCTCTAAACGTATTGTACTCGTAACTGGCCACGGTCGCCCGCAATGCCTCCAGCGAATACGTCTGCGATGCACGGTCAACGCATTCCACATCCACTCGTCGTGCGCCATCCAACACCATCTTTTCCTTGGAGCTATGAACAACACCGGGCACACACTCCTTTGCGGCCGTCCACGGCATGCGCCTGCGGTGAGAATCTGGAGAAAGTCCCATTCCTTTTGTGCACAAAGTCATGGAGCTGCCGCCGTTAAGCGCGTCCCGGCGAGGGAAACAACAGCCCGCCGCAGCACTCACGAATGCCCACCCGTTGCCTCCTGTGCAAAAAAAAAGTGATCATGGAGGGAAAAGCGTGCACAAATACCCCAGCAAAAAAAGTCAGCACCAGCGGATGAACACTGAAGCCGTGGGTGCATGCTCCACAAATGTCCTTCCTTTTTTAACCGCCTTTATCGTAGCAGAGAAATGACCTGCAACCGCACACGCAAGAATACAAAGGTATAAGGCGAGCAGCGCGGCCGTTGAAACACACACGCGCATCGTATGGAACACTTCATAGAGAGGAAGTGAATGCAGGAAGAAGCGCACACAATCCCCATGGACACCCGCAATCGTGTGTGGTTGCATCTGTTCCACTCTTTGGCCGTCGATGCGTTCCTGTGCGTGTCTCGCCCCTAAGTCCTACTGCCGTAGGGTGCCAAGTCCCTGCAAAAACACACCTCAGGACGCAGCATCGAGGTTTCCCCAATGACCACCTCACGGCCATACCTTTTGGATATCTCATGGACCGAGCGCCTCTCGCTGCAGGCCACACCACACAAAACAAGCAGCACAATGCGCTGAGGAGTTGTGAGGGCAATCGTCCCACCACCGCCACCGCCACCCAGATCAGGATGATTCTCCCATTTGCCACCACACCCTTGAAATGGCCCGGCGTTTTTCCTGCTTCTCCACTGTTTTGGCCACCACTCGCGCCATTTGGCCCTATCGCATGATCGCGCTGCACCGATGCCAACGACAGCTCAACCCGCAGCGTCCTATTCCTGTTCGCCGTCTCAATCATCATACAGGCATGCTTCAGAAACGGATCCTCGTCCGTCGCGGCGTTGCTCGCAGAGGCACTCGTGCTCCGTTCGCTCTGCGCCGACGCCGTGCTGTATCGTTGCACGCTCCCGGCCCTCCTCGTCACATGCTCAAGGTTCGCAAACAAATGGGCGTCGGGCGTCAGTCCACCGTCTCGGATCAGCTGCTGCCTCTTGACCTCCGTCAACTCGTCGGTGCTGCTCGCAGTCGCAAGCAACAGGAGAAGACGCAGACGCACTGGCCGGGGCATCGCGGCATCCCTCGTCAGTTGCTGCACGCCATCCAGGTTTTTCCTGAGGGGTTGGTGCCCAACGGCGATGTCTTGTTCCACCTCCCGCACCTCCGCCAGCCGCTTCTCCCGGTACTGTGCCACAAGCCTCGCGCAAATGTCGTTGTGCAGCGACAGTCTGGCTTGCCTCTCCCGAAACTCCGGCGAAGCCCGCACCGCACCGCTCAACTCCGCAAGCTTGGCCTTCGGCTCCACGCCCTGCGCCAATCCCGGGTGATACGCGTGGGGTTTTTTCAGCTCCACCGAAAGCTCCTCCACGCACTGCGCAAGAAAACAATGACGGTAGGAGCGCCGGTACACATCTTCGTCATCCATCAATTACTGCCGCTTCAAGTCCACCCCAGACAATTCCTACAGGTCTGCTCATACAAGTTATTCTCCAGCGGCATCAGGTCATCAAGCAGACACTGACATGTGCGTTGGTGCATCAGCGGCGTCACCGTGACACAGCCCCAATCAACGATGATCCGAACCGGGTTGCCGCAACTGTCGGCGCCCCTAATTGGAATCCGGCTCGTCGTGGTATTGCCTTGCAAGCCCCCGAAAAAGGTCCCGGCAAACCCATGGCAGATGCTGCCTCTCTTTTGGTAGCGAATGACAGGCACACCGTTGTTCATGGCGTGAAAAGCCGCCACAGGACGTGACGCCGCAACATCTACAACGGACTCTCGAGTCGGCAGCGACAGCAGCAGAGGGAATCCATTCTGCATGCTAAGGTGGAACACCAGCAACTCAGGGGCGGCAAAGTCTAACACCATTTCTTTGGAACGCATCGCCCTCTACGCTATCCGGGCCCACTCGAGTTGCTGAGGACTGCGATGCGGGGTGCACCCCAACGCAAAGATGTGTACATCCCTGTAAGGAACCTTTGCCATCCAATCCTCAACCACGCGGCTCACAGACGCATCCTCCACGGAAAAAAAGTAGAGCGCAGGGCTACTCATAATCGGCTGCTGCGGCGTCATGGGGTCCTCGAGTAGCGTCATGTCGTGCTCCATGAGATCATGGAGACGCAGTGAGCAGCTCAGCACAGACGCAGCATGGGCATCGCAGAGAAAAACCTTAAACGATCCATGAACGGCGTTAAGCATCTGGTAGAATATATAATCCCGCACACAACCACAAACGCCATTGCTGGGCTCACGCGGCTGCCCGCTTCCGTCGGCCTTGACCGCACCAACCCGCCCCGCATAATATGTCAAGTAGAAGTCACACAGACAATGTGCTTGGATATGTGTGTGTGTGTCTTGTGTGCGCACATTTCACTCGCACCGGTGTGTGTATTTGCGTCTCAGAAAACCTAACAAACACACAAGCAATTCCATACGACCATCTGGTGCCCCCAACATCGGCAACCAACACAAGAAGACCTGTGTGCGTCGTAAATACCACCAATTTCAAACACAAAAACGGAGCGGATACAGCACATGCATATGGAGAAAGGGACCCATTGAAATGAATGTTTTTCCTATTGGGCATCCAGTGCTGAGTGCGAGCCACGCAGGAGGAAGCGCAGTCGCCTTGCAGCGCAACGCCGACCACACCTCAACTCGATGGAGTGTTACCACGGCGGCAGCAGAGGCAAGCAGAAGCAGCGGACAGGGACAAGCAGCAGCAACAGTGTCATCACCGGGATTCGGAGGTGTGTCCTGCCTGCCGTCCGTCTCGCTGCTTCGATCCCTGCCACCGAGAGAAGCTTCTTGCGGTCTGTCGGGGCATCCTGGCCGGATCCACTTCTCCTCTGGCGACGGATGCTTCTGAGGAGCAGCCGTGTCTACATCCTTCGGTGGTGTGCCGCGGCCGGTCCCAATGCTCTCCGCAACGGGGACAGATGCCCCTGGTAATCCTTGTTCAGTAGATGCCGGTGAAACCGTCCTGCTCCACATGCTCTCTCATTGCCGCCCCACGGAACCATTGGAAGTAGGCTACCGCTGGTGGCGGATATCGTGCACACCTGCGCGTGGTCACGGCAAGCAACGCTTCCCCCCATCGTAGGGTGGAGTGGCCCACGCAATCGTCGCCCCGTCCGTGCATGGAACCAACGGACGTTACCCTCTTCAGTCACTGCCAGATGCAACTGCATGCCGAGGCACCTCAATGCCGCATGCATGGCAGCACTGAAATATGTCTCCTCCGGGTTCCTCGCATCCGTCGTGTTGTTGGGAAGCGTGTCCAGACACCACGAAGAGGGCTCATCCTCAGGCACCGCAGAAAAAAATTCTCCCCTCCAAATAACAGCCTCAATATTCCTCACATCCAGTGCGGGATCAGTGATGGGACAACGGCCCATCGGGCGTTTGGCTGACATTTCATGGATACTCCGTCTGCACAGCGACCACTGGAATACAAATCCGACGTGCAGCGTCTGGCAGAAACGCCCAATGCGCAGAGCATGTGGGAATATTCACTCATGTTCGGTGCGGAGC